CTTTTGAAATGATTCATATGGACATCTGGGATCCATACAAGGTTTTCACAAGGGGAAAGTAAAAATACTTCTTGACTATAGTGGATGATTTTTCAAGAACAGCTTGGGTGTATCTTCGGCAACAAAAGTTAGAATCTCTTGACAAGCTCAAAGAATTCTCCAATTATGCTCAAAACCATTTCAACTACAAGATCAAATATCTCAGATTTGATAATGCTCTGGAATTCCATGATCAATATTGCCAAGATTTCTTTGCAAATCTTGGAATTGTTCATCAGACTTCTTATGTGGATAGATCTCAGCAAAATGCCAGAGCAGAAAGAAAGCACGGGCATATCCTTGAAAATAGCTAGAGCATTGAGGTTTCAAGCTGGCTTGTCACTGCATTATTGGGGTGAATGTGTGATGACTGCTGTTCATTTGATCAATAGGCTGCCAACACCAGTTCTGAAAAACAAGACTCCATATCAAGTCTTGTTCAAATCTGCTCCAAATTACTCACATTTGAGAGTATTTGGGTGCTTAGCCTTTGCTGCTAACCCATCTAGTTCTACAGAAAAATTGCATCCTAGAGGTGTGGCTTGTGTGCTCTTGGGCTATCCTGCAACTCAGAAAGGTTACATGCTGCTTGATTTGCAGACAAAGAATATTTGTTTCTAGAGATGTCACATTTAATGAGACTATATTTCCTTTTCAACTTTCTTCTCTTGATCACTATATGAAACCTATACCACTTGTTCTCTCTCATAAAAATAATTTTCAATCACATGTATCTTGATGAGATTGAAGATTCAGAACAATTTAGATATTCCACAAATACAGACAGTCCTGTTTCTTTTTCTTCTCCTATTTCTCCTCAATTCATTTCTCCTCATGTTTCTGCTTCTTCTCAGCCACAACACCCCAATTTTCTGATCTTTTCTGATACTGAACAGCCTGCAAGACAAAGTACTAGACCCACAAAACAACCTATCTGGATGAAAGATTACATTCAACCCAAAAAGAAGTCTGATATACCGATATCAAATTTAGCTTTTCAAGAAGTAGGTCATGAATTTAACTGTTTCATGACAACTCTTGCAGAATCACAAGACCCCGTGTTCTTTAAACATGCTGTCACTGCAACATTGGTTGGAAGCCATGAATAAGGAATTGGAGGAATGTGAATTGAATGGCACTTGGAAGGTCACTTCTGTTCCTAAAGGAAAAAAGGGTGATAGGATGTAAGTGGATCTATAAAACAAAATACAAGTCTAATGGTGAGATTGAAAGGCATAAAGCAAGAATAGTTATTTTGGGATGCAAACAACAATATGGACTTGATTTCAGTGAAACTTTTGCACCAGTAGCCAAACTGACTACTGTTAGGGCTCTTTTGGCAATTGCAGCAATGAATGGGTGGATTACCACTCAAATGGATGTCACCAATGCATTTTTTCATGGCGACCTTGAAGAAGATGTTTACATGTCTCTTCCTCAAGGATATACTGGTTATGGAAGCAGGATTGTGATTGATTCTCAAGGTAATGCTCCTGTCAAGAACACTCAGCTTGTGTGCAAACTTACAAAGTCCTTGTATGGACTTAAACAGGCACCAAGACAATGGTTTTTCAAGTTGTCTTCTTCTCTTGTCTCATTTGGCTATACTCAGTCAAAATCTGATTATAGTTTGTTCACAAAGCATCAAAATCAATCAATAACAGCTGTTTTAGTGTATGTTGATGATCTTCTTATTACTGGGAATGATCAGCAGGAAATTCGGACCTTGAAGAAACTCTTGTCTTCTCATTTTCATATGAAAGATCTTGGTCCCTTGAGATATTTTCTTGGCTTGGAGATTAATCACACTGAGCAGGGCATTTTCATTTCTCAGAAGAAATATGTTACAGATCTCCTAAAAGAACAAGGCTTATTACATGTTAAGCCTCTCAAGCTTCCCATTAATGCTCACTTGAAATTAGCACCAGATAAAAGAACTCCTTTACCAAATCCTGTCATCTATTAGCAATTGCTTGGGAAGCTCATATATTTAACTATCACTAGGCCATACATTTCTTTTATAGTTCAATTATTGAGTCAGTTCATGCATAGTCCTACATCCACACATTTGCAAGCTGTGAAAATATTGTAGTGGTATCTGGCTGGCTCTACTTCTCAAGGAATTCTCCTTGCTTCTTCCTCTGCTGCTGAGTTAGTGGCTTACTGTGACAATGACTAGGCTAGTTGCCCTTCAACTCGAAGATCTACTACTGGATATTGTGTTCTACTTGGCAATTCACCTATATCATGGAAAGCAAAGAAACAATCTCTTGTTGCTAGATCTTCAGCTGAAGCTAAATACAGAGCTATGGCTCTTACAGCTTGTGAAGTGACTTTGCTTAAAGCTTTGCTCAAAGATTTGGGGATATCTTGTCTTGGCCCTACTTTACTCTAATGTGATAATCAAGCTGCTATTGCTATTGCTGCAAATCCTGTTTTGCATGAAAGAACAAAACATGTGGAAATTGATTGCCACTATGTTAGGGATATAGTGAAATCAAGTGAATTGATCACTGCTCATGTTGCTTCAGAACAACATCTTGTAGACATTCTTACCAAGGGTCACTCTGTCAAGCAGCATCAACAACTCTTACTCAAGCTTGGTGCTATTCCTTCTTCTAGCACTCAGCTTGAAGGGGGGTAATGAGCAAGGGTATTATTACAACAGCAGGGCAATTTAGTCTTTCTAGCCAAGGTATCAAATTTGTTATGACAGCTGTGTTCTGCCAGCTTCTTAGGTTGTTAGAGGGCCTGAATTCTAGGAAGATTCTCTTAGTTGTTTCTTACTTTTTGGGTGTAATAAAGTTGTAATTTGTCCTGATATATATCAGGTTCATTGTACACTGATCAGAGCTAATGAGAAAATATCAGTCCTCTTCTTCCTCTGCTAGATTTTTCATTCTTTCTGTCACCCTCTTGCACTTTGATTTCTGTTAGTCTTTAGCTAGCAATCATCAACTAGACTTTTATGTACGTATAGAGTAGTTAATTTAAATATACTATATATATTTATACGTTTTTTTATAATGTAAATTATACATAGTAATGTTATTATTTGCGTTATTGTTGTTATTAAATTATTAATTTTGATAGCTTCGTCTCATCTACTTAACCCATTTAATAGAAACAGATTTTTAGTTTGTTTATTTTCGTAAATAGCCATAATTCTAGTTGTAGCCCACCTAATAAAACCAATTATACAATTATGTACTTCAGATTTAATTTGATTCCATGGGTTAAGCATTTTATGTAATAGCATACCACGTCCAGCATAAGCACTACATATTGTAATTATATCAATGCTTAATTAGTTGTTTACTTAGTACCCTAAACTTATTTTCAATGACAACATGCATATTAAAATTATTCTAAAATATGTCTATTAATATGTCTTATTTCGTTCAATATAAAACCATGTGCGATGTGATAACCCGTGATACCTTAAACATTATTGGACGGTTCCATAATTGTTATTCATCCAGCTCAATGTCTCAAAATATTCCCCCATGTTTACTAAGGCCTTGAAATTCTATAAATAGCTCTACTTTCATGCAAGTTTTCATCATCCAACACAAACAATTTACTTCATTTCTTGTGTTCATCTCTTTGAGTTAGCTTCAAAGTAGAGAAACTTATCCAAGTTATTAAAAATGGCCTCCAAAAACACCGCCTCAATTGCTCTTTTTCTAGCATTGAACCTTGTTTTGTTCAACCTAGCCTTCGCTTCATATGTAGCACGTCCTCTTAAGTCATGCCCCCCGGATACCCTTAAGTTGAACGTGTGCGCAGATGTGCTTGATCTTGTTCATCTTCGTGTTGGATCCCCTAAGAAGGCAGCTTGTTGTAGCCTTGTAGGTAACCTCATTAAGCTTGATGCCGCTGCCTGCCTTTGCACCGCGGTTCATGCTAATGTGTTAGGCCTTGTTAACCTCAACCTCAATGTTGATCTTACAGCTCTTGTCAACTATTGTGATTGCAAGCTCCCTAGTGACTTCCTATGCCCTCCTCGCCATGCCTAAGTCATTTTTTCTTCTTGTGAAATTATTTCCCTTATTTCTTGAGTAAATTATGTATTGCATGCACCCTTGTGTAATTTGATTACTTTTGCTTGTGTGTTTTTTCCTCATTACTTGCTTGTGTGGTTTTCAATGAGAGTATTATCAATAAAAAGATGACTTTTTTTTTCGTTATATTCTATATTTCATTAGCTTAATTTTTGCTGTTAAAATAATATCATGGATAATATTACGCCCTGAATGACAAATGTTTTCGAACTACTTGACATTCACATGAATGTTATTACCATTTTAGGAAACTTCTACGCATATTTTAGGAATGGATTATTGATCGTTGAGTGAGATACATGATGGACATTTAATTTACATATAAAGAACACATAGAAAAAAAAAATTAAATCATACAACTCGATCAACATAATGGACATTTGATTTACATATGTTTTTTCTTTGTACAACGTAGAGGTTGAGTAATGAAGGCTCAACTTGGACCGACATTGAGCTCATTCAGTTCGATCGATATTGGCCAGTTATTGAGTTACTTATAATAAAATATGCATGTAATTATTTATAAATTGATGGATATTAGACTATGTATTAGTGGACTAGTAGAAATTTGTGGAGCTATTAGAAAATTGATAGGAAATTCAAGTGCATAAATATTATAGAGTGGGTGCTTGCGGCCTTCGTGCGTATGGCATACTCCTTAATTTTTTATTTGCATATTTTAGCGTTATTAACCTAATTTACGTGCTTTTCTCGCTCAGCATTCCGTAATCACTTCAAAGATGCGTTGACAATCACTTTATATTAAAAAGGTTAATATAATTCATTTGAACGTCAAGTTGCGCAAAATTCGTCATGCAAGGCGTAATAATATTGTATGTGATTGCTAAAACTAAGATCGGATTATAGTTAATCTATAGATAGACCTTACAAAACATGCAAAAGTATTCACTGTTCTTATGAATAGTTCCATGTGGAGCTATTACAATGACACCCTTACATTTAATGATTTGCCGGAATTGCCCTTCCTTAGCTATGTGCATTTGCTTGCCATTTATAGCGGATGAGACAGCTGGTCTTCATATCCTTCTTTGTGTATACGGATTGTATTTCGGATTTACTGACAAATTGAGCTCTATAGAATCTCAAAATGTGTAGATGGATTTGCTGCCAAATTGAACCTTAAATTCAAAATAGCTAATTACATAGAGTTGTAATGCGTTTTCCAGTGTCATTGGTGCTTTCATCCTTATGAGACTGGATTGGCATGTGGTATTGATTTAATTCCTGCTGTGTTATTTGGAATGGTAACAAATGAAGTGTGGATTTGGGTTTTTAAAACAGGTGGCATATCAACTGGTTATTGGTTGACTTCAAATGTTCTTATTTTTGCTTTTTGTGGGGTTACAGGATTGTTGATAGAATTGTTTGTGCTTCTGTTGCTGGACCTTGGTTTGTTTTGGTGTGTCTGGAAGACTTTTCAAGGTAATTCCTGTTCCTTAGAAGTTGGTCTGTGGTTTTGGAGGTTCTTTTTTATGCTATGTTGTTTTGTTCTGATTTTCGTGGTCTTGGTTAGCCTCAATCATTACATTGTTTTGTGCATCTTCTTTACCTGTGATACTGCTTTTGTACAGCGTGTGTGGTATTTGGAGTGTAATTTTATATGGTTTCAGCTCATTATAGTATTCATAGAATTGGTAAAAGAAATGCTCTGGGCGATTGATTGATTGTTTTTTTCCCCGTTCATTGTGAAGGGATATTGAGGTAGTTTGTAGGTAAGTCACTTTATTGATGTAGAACTTGAAAATCTAGGCTGTGTTTGGGTCTTCAGAGAAAAGTGGTTGCTTCATTATTGTAGCCTACTATTCGCACGGTTGTGTTTTTATTTAGGAATTCTTTTAGGTTAGTATAAACATGGAACGAATTCTATGTTCCTTTTGGTTCGTCTCTTGGGGAGGGTCCAGTTGTCTTAGTTGGAAGAGGAATGAGTGTTTTGCTCTTCATGGTTTTTGTCCTGAACATTGATTTTGCCATTACAGGTTATGGCTAGACGATCAAACAGAGTCTGTGTTCCTTTTTAACCTATTTCGGAAAAGGTTGTTGCTTGGTTGCAATTTCCTTCTCCGGTATATGGATTTATAGATGCTGCAAAGAATAATGTCTTTGTGCGGGTGTATCGGCCAAACTCCCGTACAAAGTTTATCTTTTATGGTGGAGATGCTGCTACGGTTGAAGAGTCTCGTGAGAGAGCAGCTCACAAGGTTGTGAAAAGATTAGTTTGCCGGTTTAATGTTCGAGTGTCTGACTTCACGTATGAGCGTATGAAGATGTATCGCTTGTGTGTGAAATTGTATAAGAATTTATGTGCTAAATTAGTACACGACAGAGAAGACTTGAGTCGCATTCGTGCAGAATGCAGCACACGGGAGGATGTACCGTTTCATGATGTTCATGTTGGACTTGATTTTGTGCAGTTTCTGGGAGTATTAGTTAGGAAGACTGGTGTAACTGCCAGTGGTAATGAGACCACCAAGCTAGAAGGACATGGTTACATGTCCTGGTTAATGGTCACTTGTTCACATAACAATATTGGAATGGAGTGCATCTTCAGTGATCCTTGTCCTGAAAGGGATCTTGCTGAACAGCGAGTTGCTAAGAAGGCATGTTTTTTTATATCTTCTATGCTCAATTTAGATATTGTTGATGTCAATTATGGTGCTGCTGCCAAGCTGAGCGTAGAATGTTCCTTGATTAGGGAAAGGTATATGGTTTTGAAAAGCCATGTTCAGTGTTTGCAAGGGAGTTCTACCCAAGCTAAGGCTGTTACCTGTTTGGTTAGTGATGGATGTGAGACACCGACTGATGAAGCAAACCAGATTCCGGTCCTTGCTATTCCGCCAAGTCTTCCAGCTAAGCGCACCATTGATAGAAAAAAGTTGCCTACGAGTGCTGTGGGGGTCCATGTTTCTGATCAGCTTGTTTCTGGCTTGATTGAATTTGCTAATGGTCACAAATGTGCTAGGGTTGAATAGGCAAGTGTAGCAAACTTAGCTGCCTTTAGGGTCTAGAGGCTTTATGGTATGTAAGTAGATGTTAGGGCTGTCTCAGTGATGTAGTTGCTTTGTAGCTTGATTTGTCCTACTATTGATGTCTGTTTTAGGATGCAAGACATAGCCAGTATTATGTACCTTTTGGTTTTTGCTGATGTACTGAATCGAACTACTTTGGTGTACTGCCTGTTATGGCTTTTTCATAATAAAAGTTGGTGTTTGTAGTATGCCTTGTGTCTTTGCACGTTGCGTTGTTTACTTCTTTTCTTGTAATCGTTCAGGGAGAAGCCTTTCTTTATCATTTTTTCCCTGTCTGGTTTCTGATATGAAAACTATTACAGGCCTTGTCTACGGAAGGTGTTGCGGAACTCTGTAGCCTTCCAGCTTTGATATCCTCTTCTAGAACTGTGACAATGGGTATTGTCTTTGCTAGAGAAGTTTGTGCTAGAATTTGTTTCATACAACTGGATTCTGAACTGTCTGTTCTTTTTGCTGCTTTACTTTCTTGTTTGGCTAGATTACCGTTATGGCATACCTCAGCTATCTAAAAAAAGATGCACTAGACTAAATAAGGCTGCACAGAGGACATCACAGTCAGCATCTGCTAGGTATATATATCTATTAGAGTTTGGTTAGTTAGGATGAGTGGCTCTTGCATTTGGAAATAGCTTGTTAAAGAGTTTACCTTTAAATGTAGCACGTGCTCATCGGCAGATCAGTTTGCTCCTGCATAGCCTCCACGGCACCGTACATCAAAGAGGGAGAAGTGTATACAGGAAATGGCTATGCCAGATTTCAATAGGTACACTGTTTTCGTTGTCCAGCCGCTATTGTGTTTATCTTTGTTGTATTGATGAACGATTTTTCCTTTTTCCCTCTTACTGGCTATACCTTCAGATTGCTGCATTCCTAAGGGTGCTTATTCGGTCCTTGTGGTATAGATACCATAATAGAATATGTATTTCGTGCAGTATTCAAGAAGCAGGAATAGGTGTCCTTTCTAAGAAACTCAAACCCACATCTACTGTACAAGGTAACTGATTCTGTCAATTTTAAGAATGTCCTGTTTTGGTTTTTGTTGTTGTTTTTTTTTTTTTGTTTTTTTTTTTGTGTTTTTTGTGTAGTATTAGATATTCTTGGTGCTGCTACGGATCGGTGGTTGCCGGCGGAGCCTTTCAAACTGTCTATGCCCTTTTCGTGTGGCAAATGCGGTGCAAAAAAATTTATGTTTGAATCCTTGCATTTTTGTTGTGGGAATGGAGATATCACGATTGCTGCTACTGAATATCCCCCTGAACTTGTTTATTTATTTACTTCGAAGGATGAAGGTGTTGTGCATTTTAGAAAGTATGCTAGGCTGTACAACAACTTGTTCGCATTTAGTTCACTTGGGGGTCATTATTATGCAAACACATACAAAGGGATTTATCTTTTCAAGTTGCAAGGGAAAATGTATCATTTTGTCCCAGATTTATTGCCTGACGATGAAAATCCAAAGTATCTCCAGTTATATTTCTATGATGGTCAACATGAATCAGAAAGTAGGGTTGGTTGTTTCCCTGAAATTAGAGAAGACATAATTAGCATTCTGATGCAGGTATCCGAACAAAATCCCTATGTTGTGTTCTTCCGAAATTTAAGGGACAAGGTCATTCATGCAGATACAAGAATTATTTTAAATCAAGCCTCGGTTCTTGATCAGCGTGTTTATAATGCTCCTGCTGTTGATGAAGTTGCTGCTATCTGGCTGGAAAGTGCTTCATCTAGCCAAAGTCTAGGTCCTCATATATTAGTCAGTGGACGCTATGATGAATCTCACCGAATCTATCATAATTATGGCTGCTATGATCCGCTTCAGTATCCTTTGTTGTTTCCTTGCGGTGAATGTGGGTGGACTCAAGGGCTTAAAAAAAATTCTCACCCGGAGCACGACAGATTTTGTTCCAGATCCTATAATGTCTTGTGCTGTTCATACTGCAACAGATTTATTGGAACAAGAAGAAACCCGTACAGATTCTAAAACTTATTCTTCGTGCTTTATATTAGGTGCTCTTTTACTGTTGTCCCCTTTAAATATTGTCTTTCGTATCTTAATTGCAGGTGCAAAAAGAAAGAACACTAAAGCTGACAAATTCATTTCTGCAAGAGAGTCAGCCGACGTTCGGTTGTACATAATGACCCTAATTTTAATATAGTGACCTTTATTAACCAAATAAATAAGTTTTGTTAAAGTTTAGATTAGATAATATAATTATAATATAAGGGTTGATAATATGAATATGATAATGATATAGCGATTAATAAGTTCATATAAGATAATACAAAATAAGTGAAATTAAAGTTATTTTGGAGATTTTTGTACGTACCCGAGTGGAGGGCGTGTACGTCCCGCGAGAGACAGATCCGCAACGCAACACTTGAACTGTTTGGTCACCTGCAAAACAACGGACCCTCGGGGGGCAAAGGTCCGCGCGCCTCTGACGATCAAGTTAGTGTCCGGAAGAATGTTTTTTAGAGAGAGAAGGGAGAGTGATTGTGGGGGGCATTGCCCTTGGAGGGTGAATTAACTCCCTTTGAATTTATGTAAATGATCAGTATTTATAGAACATTGGGACATGTGCCTTTTAGGTTAATTAACCTAAGTAGATTGGTTTCCCAGGCCACCATTTTACGATTTCTAGGGTTATTGGCTCTTACCCTTCTATCATTGAGTGACACGTGTCATGCTTTAATTGGCTCATTGAGCGCTGAATTTGCAGACACGTGTCGCGATGGCATTTGTCCACATACAGAGGGTATTTTTACCCTAAACAAAAGTCAATATAATATAACAATACCTAGCTTGCTAAGTCTCTTTGCCCAAAAATAAATAAATAAATAAAATTGCATTGTCAAAATTGAAATTAAACAAATAAATTTTTTTTAAAAAATTAATAAATAAAAAAAATAAAGAAAAAAAAAAACAATTCATGTAACACCGTACCATCCAAGGTAAGCATAGAGACTTTGTTGTTAAAGGAGTATGGTCATAACGGATTTAAATAAATGTATATTTCATGAATGGTGGGATAGCTTTTTCTACCCTTTCTGTTTTTGTTTTGTATTCTCTTCTTGCATGCTTCATGCATTTTCTTTATCTTTTTTACAAGACATTTTTTCATAGAATTAAAGTCACATTATATCTCAAATATTATATATAGACTAGTACATATACGTGACTTATAATTAATAAGAGAGAGCCAATTTACTAACGTGGAACACCCTATATCTATAAATAGCTCAACCCAATTCAGAGAACTTTACTCAGCTCATCACACTTCTTTGTCTTACTAATCATTCAATTCTCTCATAAACCCTAATTAAACACTCAAACTTAATTATTCTGACCAAATGGCCGAGCAAAAACAACTTCCTCTTACCATCTTCATCGACATTGAAGGTATAATCGAACATGACACAGATCAAGAAGATAACTCGGACCACTCAAAACCGGCTCAATGGCTAGCACCCGCTGTCTTCGCCGCCAACGATGGGTTAGTGTCAACCGCATCCCTCATGTTAGGTATGGGTGCGGTTAGTCAAGACGTCAACGCTATGATCGTTACCGGGTTCCTAGGCCTAATAGCGGGGGCTTGTAGCATGGCTATAGCCGAATTCATCTCTATAGACTCAACTCTCGATAACGAGTCTAGTCAAAGGGATGATGATGAGCCTAGAAAGGATCCCATAAGGGCAGCTATCGCGGAAGCTTTTGCTTTCGCGGTTGGTGCCCTAGTTCCTTTGACGGTTGCATTGCTTTTGGAAGGTTATAATGTCACCCTAGGGGTGGTAGAGGGACCGATAAGTGTTGTGTTGGCGGTGTTCGGGTGGATAGGAGCGTTTTTGGATGGTGCTCCGGGGTTTAGAGCCGCTTTAAGGGTTTTGTTATGGGGTTGGGTGGGTATGGTTGTCACCTTTGGATTATTGATAAACAGAAATTGGTAACATTGAGCTATTTCATTATTATATGAGTAATGAAATTAAATATCTATATATAAGATTTTAGCTGAAGTTGAAACCAAGACTCCAAGAGTAAGTAAGTTTTACTTAGCTCAACACTAAAATGTGTAAACAAATAGTAAAAAGAAAAGAAAAGGAGAGAGAGACACTTGTGCCATTTACTATGAATAGCCTTGTAAAAATGCATTAGCATTTTGGTCATAATGCATGTCTCATTTTCCCTCATTTCACCTTAATACGGATTTTATAAGATTCTATATGACTAAATTTTTAATGTATAAATTACCACGCACATGACTATATGCGGCCATATATAGCTAATTAAGTGGACGTACGGTAGTCATTATTGTGTTCCTTTACAAACACATAATGTCAAGTGTCGTCCAGTAAATATTAGGAACAATCATAAGATTTTTTGATCTGTTTTTTGTACATGACCTTAATTATTACAAGCAGCGGATTAAGTTCACTAAGCAACTCAAAAGAGCTTTACTCTCTTCAACGAGTCTTCAAACTGCGTAAATGCATACATAAATTTATCTAATTAAAGAACTAAAATGCATCATTACATTGGAAAGAATTCAAGGGAGTGCGTACGCTTCCCTGTTAATATAGTTGGTATCCTTATCAAAGTACAAATTTTTAGGTCTACTTTGAGAATGAGTAGTGGTAGATAGTCTAGATATGACGGGAGATACTAATAAATGGGTCTGGGTCACACCCACCACGAGTGTCAACTTTACAAGTCCAAGAAGGTTTCACCTCAAAACCATATGACAATGAGGGGAGTAACCTGTTAACCTAATAAAGTGGACATGATTTTTTCTTTTCTTCATATACATATCTCAATACCCACTCTTAGGGCCTGTTTTGCATGATTGACTGAATTGTGCTGAATTGAACTGAACTGAACTTATTGGAGCTGAACTGAATGTTTTATGAGAGAAGAAAATTAAGATAAGAACTGAATTGAACTGAACTAAAAATAAGCTGAAGAGAACAGACCCCTTACTTTTTATACTTAATATGAGACAACACTTCCACTGATCACATATGAGTTTGTTCAAGGGCTCAACAAATACTAGGGATTTTTTTTTTTTTTTTTTTTTTTTTTTTTTTTTTTGAGAGAATGAAAGGAAGTACGTGTGAGATCTCAAATTAAATAGAATGAGGTACTTGAAGGAAACAATGGAAGAGGGCCATAATTACTAAATTAGTGTATCAATGAATGCTTGTAGTTAGACGCCTATTATTGCCCAGAATTAATCTTTTCATAATAATTTATTAAATTGTGTCTTTAATTAAGTTTAACTGCCTTTTGACCCGTTCAATGCACGGGTTGTTACTTAGGTTATTTTTTCTTGAAAAGTGTCGGTGTTGTGTGAAATTTAGTTAGGTATATATACATAGATATTGTAGGGCATGAAATGATACATTGGTTTAAGTTATATTTAAGTTTAGGAAATGAAAAGACTATTTTATTGTTAATGTAATGAACACTAAATAGTTTAGTTTTAATTTATTATATTGAATATGAAACGCGTAATTTTCTTACTTAAATTTGTAAGTTTTAGAATGCATAAAGATTAAAGACTCAAACATTATTTATATATTTTGTTTTTATATTAAAATGGGAATTTAAAAAGAAAGGATTAAGAGAGGTGACATGTGACATATAAGTGATTATGCATGGTGATATGTGGCTAAGTATAGATTTGTGGTTTGTGTTTTTAAATACTAAGTGTAGAAGTGTAGATATAGATTAGTTTCATAAATAAAAGGGAGCAAATTGTTAAAACTTCAATAATAAAAGCTCTTGTTTTTAATAAAATTTTCATTCTAATACATTAGCCATTTAGCCTTGCAAGAATTTTCTCTCTTTCTGGACATAAAACAGTAGTGGTACGTACGTAGTTTTAGTGATAGATGGTCAAAAATGCTAAAATAGTGGCAATTGGCAAATCCATGTTTGGTAAAAGATTGGAATCTCTTCTTGTACAACTTACACATCTTCATGCTACTGAAACATTTCTTTTAATTGGTCATTTGGTCATTAAAAAGAGTATTAATTGGTGATTAAAAAGAAAAAGAAGTCATCTTGTTTTGGTGGCAAAAGACACGGTTGAAAACAGTTATTAGAGTCTTAATTGGATCATGGAATCATGGATGTATGTTTCAATCTTCCAATAATATATAATCGGACTGGTGGTATCCGTGTGAAGAGCACACTCCTTTGTTAAAATAATTCAACACTACGTTAGCTGTCCTTTTCTCCTTTATCTACATTGCATAATAAGGAGGTTTCTTTAATTGATGGGGCCATGAAAAATTAATTAAAACATAAACCTTTGTTGCGATTTAATTGGACCGTCTTTATGTTATCTAATAGAGTATAAAACTTATTATTGGGGTTCAACCATCAACTTAAGTTTTTGATTGAGTTGGTCCTCTAACATGGTATCAGAGCTAGCGTGACATAATGGTCACGAGTGCGAATCTCATCCATTCCCCACTTTCAAGTGGAATATTAAGCGGGCGCTGGGCATGAGGAAGGCTCATGCCGCTTCCACATTTCTAGCCCAAAAGGGCTCTTGTGTGAGGAGGCGTGATAGAGTATAAAACTTATTCTTGAGCCTCAACTATCAGCTTAACCTTTTGGTTGAGTGGTCCCCTAACATTATCCACTAAACTTAAGATTTTATTTTTCATTTTTAGTTTTTTGGGGGTTATATTGATGCTGGAATTTAGGGTTATTTTTATATCTATCATTTTCGTGTAGGTAAGCCTGTTATTCTCCATTTTTTCTCCATTTTTTCTTTGTAAATTATTGCTCAAAAGTAAGACTGTTATTCCCCAATTTTTTCTATGTAAATTACTGCTCAAAATCGATAAGCCCTCTTTGAAATCATGGGACTTTGCCAAACCTATCATATATGTTACTCTCTACGTGTTTATTATACATGTATGTAAATACAATTTAATCAATAATATTTTAAATTATCAATATGCAAAAATTTATACATAACAATTAAATATTAATTAATAATTTAGACAATTTCAACAAATAATCACAACACTTTATTTTTTCTTAAATATAAATCACTAACATTAGTCAAATTAGATTAGGTGAATAGTGTAAAATGTGTTACGAAAAAAATGTGAAGGAAGTACATGGCTTGTAATGTTCTGCTTTTTAGCGCTATTTTCAATGCATTTTATTTTAGTTTCTTGGGTGATATATAAAATTAAAAGTCCCCTTAGAATTGAACCAAATCAAGTGAAAGTTCAATTTTTACTTGCTATCAAGTGGTATGAGAGATAAGAGCACAATCTCGTGATAAATCAATGTCACAGTTTAGCTTTTGTCAACTAAAGTACTTTTTAGAGTAAAATATTGAATCGTTGATATTCATTCGATGATGCTAATAATATAATTGAAGTATCAAGAATTCAAGTAAGATTCTAATTTCTTTTCCAAATTTAGCCATTCTAATTTTCATTAAAAGATTTATGGTTACTAGAATACCCTGTCATTCGAGGTATAATTGTAAGGAGAATCTTTTTAATTTAATTCTCTATATCTAAAATTCAATCTTCATTATGTGATAGTTAATTTAGTGTGTACATGCGATGTACTTAAAAGTTAATCGTAAGCTTTTGTGTATTAGACAAACAAGAATAAAAGCTTATAAGAAATTATCAAATTAATAAGTTGGTTCAAAATTTACACATTTTAAAATATAGTGAATGATTGATTGAAAATACATATAATTTAATAATTCCCTCCTTTTTATCTACTTGAACACCACACTTTGACAAGCATATTAAGGAAGATAATAGGCTTAATAGCAAAAGTAAACATAAAAGCTAATTGAAATAATTTTACCACGCACTAATAAGAAAAGATTGTTAAATTTTACAATTTTAAATTTATAGCTCAATCTATTATGCCAAAAGTTGCATTGCAAGTAAAACATTTTTGAATGAAACAATAACTATAAAATACAATGTATAATATACACTTTAAATCTAACACATGATATTACATGCATGTATAGTAGTAAAACACCATGTAAAGCTTGGTGTAGTGGAAAATTTTATGTCGTGATATCAAATCTCATTAGAGATACTTAGGATGGGAGTACCCTTTCACACCCTCCCAAAGGGTCTAGTCTACTAACTCGGGTCAAGTTGATAGGTGAGAGGTTTTGGTCCGGCCCAATAGGACCCTTATCAAATACGAAGTATATAGTAGTAGAACAAGTGCAATTCTAGTACAATATATATTATTTATTAAAAAAAAATAGGAGGTTCTTTTGTTTTTCTTTTTTTTTCTACAAAACTTTCTGTTATACCTCTTTATATACATGTCTAGCACTTAAGATTTTGCCAACAAAACATTAGATTAAATCTCATATCATGCATTAGGGCTATTGAATTCTCATAAATCAATTATTGGATGAAAGAAAACATAGTGCATGATATACTCCTAACTTCTTAAGTCGTAATTGAGTGCACGTAATAGTATCCATCACTTGATTTGCAAATGTCGTCTCGTGTGTTGCTTGCGCCTATGCAAATATAATACAACTTCAAGTGGTGGTTTTCTTGCGAAGAGCACACTCTATTATTTAATATTCACTAGTGCTTTTCCACTCAACAATCCATTTTGTCTCATTTTATTTCTTTGAGTAGTGCTAATATTTGGTGTCCCAACTAACTTATAACAAGATTTTATCTAAATATGTATCAAAACTAAATGATAATGGTTTATATCATATGGGTCATTATATTTTGTAAGAAAGAATTTAGATGTTGCTCATCAACTAGAGCTAGGTTCCAACTTTGAATTATAACTATGTTTTATAAAGACCTTACCAATTGAAAACAAATTTAAATTACACACAAATAGTAGAAAGATACTTCATAGCATTTATATGGTGATCAATCAGTGTTTGTAAGTAGAAAGAAGATAAAATACTGTAAAAGTTAATAAAAAAAGAAGATAGAATACGTACAATATGTAATAGTTAATAGAAGGTATAAAAAAGTGAATGGCGTAATTTCATTTATTTTTTTAAAAAAAAGTTATAGATAAAGTGAAAAGCCCGTGCGATGCACGGTTTGTTTGATTTTTTTTTAAATAATGTTTTTTTTTTTTTTGTATTTATGAGCCTAAAATTTGTTATATATTTAGATAAAATTCCTAATATTAAAAGATAATATATAATATTTAATTAATTTAAACTTAAAAATCTCATTCGCCAATTTTGCTTACATGGCATTTAAATTATTTAATTCAAAAAGAAATTAATAATCTCTTATTTAATTGGCTACTACTAAGATTTATAATCCTACATGGCGCGCTGAGAAAATTAGATCTTACGTGGCTCTCTAAAAACTCGGGAAAAAACTCTCCTTTATAAAATTTTGTAAAAAATAAAATCATTATGAAATAAAGGTAATATTGCATATTATGATATTATTACTAAAGCTTATTTTAAAGCTAACAAACTATTAAATCATGTACAAGTATTATATAGTTCTACAAAAAAAAAAATATCAAATTATTCTTAAGTGGCAAATTGTAGTAGATAACTAGTTTTAGGCACAAGTGATGTCTCATGTTACCGCATTATTTCCATGATATAAATCTTTATTAATATTTATTTTTTGTTGAATGACATGAAATATGTTTATAGCTTAGTGGTTAACACGTTGGAATTTTAATTACACTTGAGATTGTGGGTTCAAATCTTGTAAAAACATACCGTGTGGCACCTAAACTTCTTAAGAAACGTCTTTTAATATATAGTATAGATGATACGGAGTATACAGAAAGACTCATTCACTAACTTATTAGGCATTGTTCTCCTCACCTTAGAAAATTAGTATATAATAAAAATAATTTCAATACACACTTAGGCTTAATGTACATATTTAAATTAGTAAATAAAGTTACAAAAGTTTGACAAATCATTCGTAAGCAGCTAAAGCATCAAATCAAGAAAAGATCAAGGTGATGGATATCAACTTTCACATATGATATTACTGAGCTAGTGAGCTTTTGACCAACAAAGAAAATTTAAAAAGCATGGTTTTGTTGGTGAAAAGAAGAAAAAACTACATCTAAGGATGAGTTCTTTTTAATCTACAATAGTACATTAGTACTGCAATAGCTATACAATCAAGGGTCTATTAATTTCACTTGTGTAAAAAATATTAAGTCAAAATAATTTCAGTTCAGTACATAATTTTCAGTTTGGTAAAAATAATTTCAGGCAGTAAAAATCAGTAACTTTTAAGAAGAAACATAATAGATAGTCAGTAAATATAATTTCAGTTCTGATTGTGTATAAAACATATTTATGAGTCTCAATCATCAGCTTAAGTTCTCTGTTGACTTCGTCTACTAACATAGTAGCGGAGCAAGCGTGACACAAAAGTCATGAGTTCGAAACTCATCCACCCTCCACTCTCAAGTGGAATATTCAATTCATCAGCAAAAAAAAAGGTGACTAGAACATGGCTCAAGTCACAACAAGAGATTGGGAAATACTCTGTATAAACCAACTTTAAATCATCACATAATAAACGAATTTCAGTTATGTACGAGTCCATAAAAGTTTACGAACACTAGAAGAAGATTAATTTTCAAAAATAAGGAAACCTCAAGTTCCAACCATTTCTAAGCTTCATTAGCATGTTAACCATGAGACTTTGGTAACAAGGTATCCTTAAGTACTAAAAGTTTACGTGCTTTCCTAGACTATAGCTAGGTGATGGTACACTAGTGTTATCCACAACATCTAGCTCAATCGATAATACTCCGATCCTATGATGAACATTATTTTCCAAGAAAAAAGTAACAAAATATCTTCTAACATGAGTGAGCTAATAAATAGTCCTTTACATAATTACATTAGGAAAGACATAGTTTGAAAGAAAATGAGCCTTTAAGCTACCACCCTTTTGCATGCATTACTAATTGTCGTGAATATCGATTGTTCATTACTATGATTAGTATGTTTCATTACTATGCTTTATTTTATAACAGTGATGATCTAGACTGTAGACTCAAAGTATAAAGATACTAACAAATAATTGAGGAAAGAAAAAATAAAGCTTATTATTGAAAGAAAATTGGCTTCATTAATGTTCAATGAGCAACTCAATTTTTTTTATTTTTTTTATTTTTTTATTTTTTTATTTTTTTTTGGTTCATTTGATGAATTATGCTCATCTTAAATTTTGCAAAATTAACCTTTGGTGCACCTAAATCAAAATAGAATTGTACTCTCTTTGGCAAAATTAGATGTAGTTTTGGATTGAATTTTGAATTGTGATTATATTTTTACATAAAGTAGATGTGTGGAGAGATGAGACAATAATTTTTATTTTAATTAAACGAGAGAGCTTGGGGCACTAAATTTTAGTAGTGAAGAGCGTAGTATTAACCAAAAATAGAAAGAGGCAAAGTAAATTAAGACAATACAAATGAAAAAATAATAGACAAACTAAAATGAGACGGAGAGAGTAATGTCGATGAAAAGCCAAAGCAATATGAAATCCACTTTTCCAAAGTAAATTTCATTGATGAATGATGATTTTGACCAGATATAAAGCAACTATTTTGTTTTTCATGTATGTGTACAATCTCACACATAAATCTTTTACTTTCCATTAATAAGTGGTTTTTCTTGGTGGAAAATCCCACTAAAAAATTTTCCCCTACCACCCTCCTTATAAACCCCTCCCATGCACCCTTCTCTTGCAACATACCTTTACATGCACTTAATAAACTATTCTCTTTCTTTTTTTTTTCTTTTGTATTTCATAATAATGGCAACTAAACAAATACCTTTCCCTCCAACCAAGTTGGAAATAATAAGACCAACCATTGATGAAGAGAGCCAAAAGCAAGGTGATGAAAATAAAAACAACGACATGGACTACTCGAAACGGTCTCAATGGCTTAGAGCGGCGGTCTTAGGAGCCAACGACGGGCTTGTTTCAACAGCATCACTCATGCTTGGAGTTGGTGCGGTGAAGCAAGATGTCAAGGCAATGATCCTAACCGGCTTTGCTGGTCTAGTAGCCGGGGCATGTAGCATGGCTATTGGAGAGTTCGTGTCCGTCTACTCCCAACTTGATATTGAGGTTGCTCAGATGAAAAGAGAGAAAGTTAAGGAAGGAGAAAAGGAAGAGGAGGAAGAGCGATTGCCAAACCCGTTACAAGCAGCATTTGCTTCTGCCCTAGCCTTCTCTTTAGGGGCCTTGGTACCACTATTGGCAGCATCATTTATTAAGGATTATAAGGTGAGGCTTGTGGTGGTGGTTGTGGCCGTGACCGCGGCTTTGGCAATGTTTGGGTGGTTAGGGGCGTTTCTAGGAAGAGCACCCCTTGTAAGGGCTTCTATAAGGGTTTTGTTGGGTGGTTGGCTTGCTATGGCTATTACCTTTGGACTAACCAAGTTGATTGGGTCATTTGGTTTATGATTTAAAATATTTTTAGAGGTAAATAATGGTTAAGTATGACCTTGTAAACCACAAGAAAAAAGATTTGTAGTATATACTAGAGTGTTACATGTTTATATTGTGTTGTCTTTGTCTAAGTATAACCGTGAGATTTATTATATGTAGTTGAGAGAAATTATAATCAAATGATATAAGCATATATTTACCTTTCTATTTATGTCAGATGTGTACACAGTTGCATGCATACACTCCGCCCCTAAAATTTAATATCTATTTTATACTTTTGTGATTTATATGCAAGTATAGATATAGTTTGTGTGAGATATTGCTTGGATCATCTCAATAAATGAATACTATAACAATATCTAACTTTTTTATAATTTTTACTTATTTTTAAATTAGAGATAATGATGATTTAAATTATGCGTTGACAAGCTTGATAAATGGTCGTGTTTGGTGTAGCCGAGTAGTTCATTTCCTTTACTCCTTGTACGGATGTAGGCTGGGTTAGATACTTTATTCTTTATTCTTTTTTTTCTCCCAAATGTGCTAGTTCTGCTACTATATATACTTCTTAAATAAATTGGGTGTACGATTAATGTTGTACATCCATTGTAAAATTACCTTAAAATGATATGTTATTCTAAAATATATAAAAATTACCTCACTATAAATAAAAGTTATCACAATATGTCAATATTAATATACTACCTCCGTTAAATATTATGTGCAACTTTGGAATATTTTATATCTCACAAATAATGCCCCAAAGTTGCACATAACATTGAACGAAGGTAGTATATAAACTAATGTTATCTACGCTTTAATAAATAAAAAAAAACATAAATAAATAAATAAATAAATAAATAAATAAAAAATTAAACTACTCTTTATAAATGAGTAAAAATCAAATGTTAAAGAGTGAAAGTAAATATATTACCCTTATAAAACTTATCTCGTTGCCTAATTATAATAAAAATCATATCAGTTTCAAAATTACCCTAAAAAAAAGTTCAAAGTCACCCCAAATTCTCTAAAAATTAACCTAAAAATGTTCGAAGTATATTAATACAAGGTTAGGTCCCGTGCCATACACGATATATTTTAATATTCATTGTAAATTTAGCATTATGTTTATTTTAAAAAAAGTAAAAATTATCTAAACCTATTGTGAACAAATTTTGACCTCATTTTCTTCTTGTTTCATGTCTTTACAAAAATTTAAACATAAAATATATGTGAAAGAGTTGTTTGATCGAATGAAACCAATGAGTATTTCATATGAGTATTTATAAAATTTAAAATAATATATATGTCTTTGATCACATGGGTAATTATAAAATTTAAAAGACAATTAGACAAATTAATGGTGTATTATATTGTTTTTCATTTCTTACTTAAATTAAAGGAGTATCTTAAAATTAATTATATACGTATGAGTAGGAATTTAATAGATGTATAATATTAATGAATTACCCTATTTTCTATAGATCGTTTAAGGTTATATATTGTTTACTCTCTAACCATGTATCTAATCAGATCACAACCAAGTGTAATATATACCTCTTATGGGCTAAATACTTTTTCACTACAACAACTCATATGTCAATCATTAATTTACGTCTCTGGTTTTTCTTTGAAAATTTTCAATATTTATAGTTAGTTGTTTTCTAATGTTTTCTTTTTTTTTGAAACATTTTCTAATTTTTCTTTAAATATTTTACAATTTTGTTTTAAAAATTATTGTTTTGAATTTTTTTTCTCCTACGTAAATAATGTCATTGGATTGTTGGACAACATTTTGTGTAAGAAGAGTAGCCGGGTAGTCATATTAAGATTGGATATCTTTAATCTTTGCGATTAAAATTTCCATCTTTTGTTTTTTTATGCAAAATTTTCCTTCTTTTGTTGTACAGTAAATATATATAGTAGAAGTTATATATATATATATATATATATATATATATATATATATATATATAATAATAATAATAATAATAATAATAATAATAATAATAAAAAAGTTAAATAGTAGAAGAAGGTACATATACTATAAGATTTTTTGTGCATGATTCTTATTAAGTATGTCAATATTCTATCCTTTAAAAAATTCTCAAAGATTAAGTAATTATATGTCGCCAACAGTTCCAAAAAGATAGTTACATGCATATCCATCTATAGAATGTAAAAGATCATTACTTATTTTATATGGTTAATTAAGACAACTATTATTAAGTAATTATTTCCTAAAATAAAAGTTTTATAAAAGGAGTTTTTAATTTACAAAAAAAATTAAAAAAAAAAAAAAAAAAAACCTCCTATAGATACACCAGAATTTGATACGTGTCATTGTTGGTGTGTCTTTTAGTATATAACTAGCCTTCTAACCCGTGCAATGCACGGGTTGTTTTTAGAAAATTGCATTGAGAAATAAGTGAGAAAATATCAATAAATTAGAGTAATGTATAATAAAAAAATGATTAAAGAAATTAATTTTTGGGACTTTAATTTAAAATGAGGCTTGAGAAAAAAAAAGGTAGAGGGACTAAAATTACAGCGAGAAAAAAAAAAGGTTGAATTGAAGAAAGGAGATGAAGATGAATTGTTAAATGAAAGAGTTAAGAAAGATAGTCTAATAAAACTATAAAATCATTTAACGAATATGGAATAAATTATATTCTATTTATGAATATGATCAAATTAAAAAGTATTTGTAATGTGACACTTGGCATATTGGGTTAAAAAGAAGATAGGGAGGTGTAATATGATGAGAACATATGTCTTTCTCGGTTTGAGTTTTTAAATACTAAGGTTAGATATAGGTTATTGATTGATTATTGATTAAGGATCTTTTGCATGCCCCCGGTTTACAATAATTTTATTGTACATTGAACCTTTTGTGAAAAGTGACCTATTTTCTTACAAAAGTGACCCTTTTTATTTACAATAGTGACCCTTTTTTCATAAAAGTGACCCCTTTTTCACAAAATTGACCTAAGTGACTCTTTTTTTTCACAAAAGTGACCTTTTTTTTCCACAAAAGTGACCCTTTTTATCACAAAAGTAATTAAGTTACCTATGCAAATTGCAAAATAAAGTATCAAAATCTCACTAGTTTTTTTTTTTTTTAGTTTTTTTTCAAAAGTAACCCATATTCTGTTACTTTGATTAGAAATTTCTACTACTTTTATGTGTTATTATTGCTACTATTGTTGCTTGATCTGTTGTGAAAGATGAACTATCAATTTCTATTCAATTTTCCCGTTAACGAGGCTCAAGTTCGCGGCAATGGTGGCGGCGGCGGTGGCTTCCATAGTGGGTAAAAAATTAGATGAACATACATACCTTGAAATTGGCTGTAGAAAGATGAATCATTGATCAAAACAGGAAAATTATGTTACAAAATCAAGATTAATCGGGAAAAAAAAGAAGGAAATTGAAGAACAAAGAAGAGAGAAAGAGAGAAGAAGAAGTGCAGAGAAGAGAGAAGAAGAGCAGAAAAAAAAAATATCAAATAGAAACTCATGAGAAGAGAGAAAAATAGAAATTGTAGTACTCCATAAAACTTGTGCATGCTCAACACCGCCATTCGTTAAATTATTGTAAACCCATTTTTTTAAACTTTTGTGTTAATGTAAAGCGTGTACACAAAAGTTTTAAAAAAATAATCTTTCAACTTTCATATTAGAGATTTATTTATTTATTATTTTTTTATTTTTCATAATTGTGCTTTATTCCCCTAATCAATCCACCATATGTCATAAAAAATATACTACGTATCTTTTACCATTCTTTACCCCAGTACTTAGTTCATTCATATTGTATTAGTTATTTAGTTATTTTAATACAAAGAAAGTTAGTTAGGCCATGTTCATATAATACAGGTGTCAAATCCAGCAAACACAATTCACTAGAGGAAAAAAATTAGGAAAATTGGTTTAAAATAATATCAACTATCAACTATGTGCGCAATATAATACAAACTCAATTATTTGCTATTAGTGGTACCACCTTTTATACTATGGGTCTGTTCACACTTATTGAACTGAGCAAAACTGAACTGAACTGATTGGAGCTGAACGGAACTGAACTGAACTAATTGGAGCTTAACTGAACTTAATAGAGCTTAAATGAATATTTTATGAGAGAAGGAAATTAGGAGCTGAACTGAACTGAACTGATTGGAGCTGAACTGAATGATTAGAGTTGAATTCAACTGAACTGAAATTAAGCTGAAGTGAACAAGCCCTATATGTGCAAAATAGTACGCCAATCTCCAAAAATGTATTTCAATGAATATTCTGTCTATCTTTGTTATTAATTATTATATTTTATATTAATTTTCTGTTTTCTTTTCAAAATACATACATAGTATTATGTTAAGAATTTTCTTTACCATCCAAATTAATAATGCCCCACCCTTTTGTTAGGATTTTTATTTTTTGTAAAAAATCAATATGTAATTTTTTTTTCATAATACATATAGTAATTTCTACATCATACAATAGTAAATAGGGTATTTAAATGCCTTATTATTATGTTGATAAAATTAGTTTCAAAATATCCGAAATTTTTCCACATTCACCAACCAAAATAATGTAGGGAATATTTTGGATTTTCAAAACAATATTTGAAACTAATTAAATAAAAAATACCCTATTTACTATTCTGTGGTAGACTGGTAGTAGAAATCACTACATGTATTTTGAAATAAATTATTTAAATACATATTAACAATTTTTTTTAAAAAAATAAAATAAAATAAAAAATAAAAAAAAATAACAAAGGGGTGGGGCATGCATTATTGATGTGTCTATTTTATATAGTATTTTACCCCTGTCCCTTGGTCATAATTAGTAGTGTTTTTGGCTCTTTAGATCCACTTTTATTACTAATTGGTGTTTTCTAGTGTTTTCGTTGATTTGGTTGACTTTTGCAGGGATTCGCACTTTTGGAGCATTTTCCCGAGATATTATAGAGCAAATACGAGCACTGGAGCCCAGGGTCGGTTAGAGCCATCGAACCGGTGATTAAGGGCTCGGTATATGTGATACCGGGGCATTTGGACCGAGTATTCAAGACCCGAAGAGGAAACCCAGATTGGCCCGAATAGTTGGAGCCCAATCGTAGTCCAAATAGTGGCCCAAGAGAGCCGCCCGACCAAAAAGGCTGGCGCCCGAAGGCGCGCCCGGCCGGGCGAGAGAAGCAAAGGTCGGC